GGGAGTCTGGCCTTCACCTCCCATATGGAAACCGAGGGGGACAGCTTTCCTCCTTCTTAACCAAAGGCGTTAGTGTGTTATCCAGGCTGGGAGCAGAAGCTACTCTACAAGGTTTTAAATACAGTTATGTGCTGCTTAATGGCAGGGATATGTTCGAAGTAATGCATATCCTTAGAACATATCCTTAGGTGGTTTATCATTATGCAAATGTCATAGAATGTACTTCTACAAACCTAAATGGTAAAGCCTACTACACACCTAGGCTTTATGGCATACCATTTTGTATATATGGTTTGTTGTTGACCAAAATCTCATTAGTGACTGTATTGAGGGAATAATGCGAAGACACAGAGGGTGGGCGTTTTTTTCTGTTGCAGTGGTAGAGGAGTTGGGAGTCAGGATGTGGGGACTGAGTGTCCTTTATCAATGACACCAAGGGGACAGCAGCAAGCAGCCAGTGGTGGTGGTGCCAGTGACGATGGCTTTATTCTGGTGGCATGATCTTGGTGGTATTTGGACTTCCAACTTCTCTTGGTTCCTGGCTGGGTTTTGATCTTGGGCTTCCCACTGGCTCTATGATCATACACCATTCTGGTGAATTTCCCCCCTGCTTAAAGTAGCCAGAATTAGGTTATGTTATCTGGACCAATAACCTTGACTAGTCCAAACAAACTGGTGCTGAGAGATGGTTGCAGGCAACAGAACCTTGGGGAAATGGGTGGGAAACGGAATATGCTACCTAGTCATTTAGGACAGAGCAGTAAAAAGTCTGTTATTATATAGGGATGATATGCCCATAACATATAACAGTAGAAAAAAGTTAAAAGATAAACATTGTCTCTGATCATGGCTCATTAGAAGCAACTATTTGCTCCTGCCAAACGACAGGAAAAGTCAGGATGGTGTGACTTCTGTTGGCTTTAGTTTGCTTAAACAAAAATAAATGATGAGCTCAGATCCTAAAAATTTTATGTCATAATGCAAAATTGAAATATTTTCTAAAACTGCACAAGAAAAGAAATTTCGGGAACAGAAGAAACTAAGAGCCAAACTCCATGAGTTGCCAAATGACAAAGTCGGTTGAATTCATAGCCTCAGTAGGTCTCTTATGAGAAAGTCAGGGCGGTGATCAGGAAGGTGTTGTACCTCAAGAACTGGAGTGGGAATATAAATATCTGAAGAACTCAGGGAGCCCTGAACCCCTAAGCCTCACCGAGCCTCTATCACCAGCCGAAACAGAACCTGTTCCTATGTCTCATGAGGCCATTATTGCTGAACTTGAAGATGTAGCCTTGCAAGAGGAAGCCAATTATCTGTATGCTCTCCTTCACTCTTCATTGTCTCCAAACATGTACCTGGAATTAGGCACCAGCATGCCCGGGGGGACCAATTATAAAGTATAACCTAGGAGTTACTGATTAGCACATACTGAGGATGAGGTGTGTGTGCGTGCGCGCGCACACACACACACACACACACACACACCCAGATTTGCTAATTTACATGAACATGGGGAAAACACACACACGGGGAATAGATTTCCTAAGGAGGAAACAACAAAATTTCAGATTCAGGGTGAATTTATCTACCTGCGTGTATTTTTTAGAAATTCGGATTTGAATAGTTGGAAGTGTTTCTAAGTGTTTTCTTGGTTGGTTGCCTAAAACCTAGTCACAATAGTAAAGAGTGCTATGTGAGGCTGAGATACAATGCAGTTCAATGTTGAGGGAGGAATTCAAAGATGATGAAAGTGGGAAATATTGGAGGGCACTTGTCATGTCCTGTTTCCGTGTCTCAAAGTGGCATAGACAAACTTCGAGAGTGCTTGAGTGGCTATTCTAAGGGCCAGGACT